TGGCAGGGTTGTTGCCTTTTCAGCACGTGCTTTTTTGGCGCTTGGTGGTGGGGATGATGGGGGGAGTGATGGTGGAGGAGATGATAGGTCGCTGCCGTCGTCGTTTTCGGAATCCTCGGCGTGATTGTTCTCGTTTTCTTCGTCGCCTTCAGCTTCAACTTCGTCTTCATCTTGGTCCCAATCGTCCATTTCGACGTCATCTTCATCGCTGTCGTGATCTGCATAACTGACTCTACGCGAAGTACCTCTGCTGCTGCGTCTGCGAGCAGTAGCTGTGCTGGTTTTTGCGGCTCCTTCATCTGATGACCAGCCATCTTCGTCCTTGTTCTTCCGCTTAGGTGTCCTTGATGTTGCGCCTGAGGACTTCCGGGGCCGTGTAGCCTTCTCCTTAACTTTCTTTACTTTCTTAGTTGTTCCAGCTCCACCAGTCGTCTCGGTGGGCTCAGGTTTTCTCTTCTTCGCGGCTTGACCTTGGGACCCGCCCTTTGACCTCATTACAGACCGTACAAGCCGATCCAGCAGATCATCAACGTCTTCCGAGAGGAAGTTTTTCTCGGCTACTTCCTGGGCTTCGCGGTGGCTGCTCATTGGGGCAAAGATTGAACTCGGGAGACCCATCTTGCCGGGGTACGTCTGCAGGATATTAGTGCCACCAGCTCCCCCGCCGAATTTGCGCTGCTGTGAGTAGATATCGGCAAATCGGCGAATGGTAGATTGAGCAAGATCTGAAAGTGTGTGTAGACGTGTCGTGATTTCATCGGACTTGGTAATACCGTCACGTGTCTGCTTGACACGCTGGGCGATATGGAAAATGAGCGAGAGATTATGTTCATTAGCTATCGCAGAGAGATAGAAAAGAATGTAGCGGCCCAAGTCGGTCAGATCGCGAGCTTTCGTCTCCTCATCCAGGTTTTGCGGGGGGTAGTCGGGATGATAAGCTAGTAGTGATAACAAGCGCGAAAAGATGGATTCCATAACTGGGTCTTTCTTTTTACCACCATTCTGAGAAAAGAAGGTCGCACGGGATCGCAACCATGTTAGAGTGCTGTCTTTCAGACTAGCATTTGGTTCAAACGCGAGCAGGAATGTGATGATATACCAACGGTGGCTCAAGCGCGAGTTTGGTACCAGTTTCTTTTTGAGTTCATTAATAAACCCAATCCTTACAGGCGCAAGACGATCTTGGGCGACTAGAGCAAGCGCATTGAAGTCTTGAGGCGCAAGCAAATGGTCACAAATGCTGTGGGATGCGCATAATTTGAGTAATGACTTAGCGGCCAAAAGACGTAGTCGTGACTTTTGCCCTGCTGGTGTGTCTTTTTTCTTTGACAACTCGCCCTCACCGACCACAAGTTTATTGAGAGTGCTATAAACAGGTTCGGCATGAGCACGGAAATCGTCTTCGCCGTCCGAGCCTTGCTTGGCGCGTAGGCGGTTGACAATAATCTTGAGAGCCCATTCTTTGGCAGCGGTTTCATCATCCACGGTGTCTGACCACGTATATCCGGCTTCCGGTTTCGGAGACCGGTTCGTCAAGAGGATTTTATTGACTGCGATCGAGATGATGGCGTCACTCTCTTCGTCTGCCTCCCTTGGGGCTAAGAGGTTCAGCTGAGATAGCGTAGCTAACTTAGTGAGGAATCGGTCTGCTCCATACTCCCACTTAGAGACACACTTCTGGACCAGGTCCTTTGCGTACATCTCTTTGCGATCTGCGGTGGCCATGAGGATTGAGACAGCATGCTTGGCAGCGCGAGGCGATGGGCTATACAACGCGTAGTTGACAAGGGCCTGGAAAAACTTGCGATCTTTGGGCAGCTTCGCCGGAAGCTTCTTTGCAAACCCAGAGCAAGCCTTGAGGATTTCTTCGGTTCCAGTGTCCTTACTCGTTTCGGCCGATGGTGCTTGCGATTCGAGATCCTTACACATCTCTTGAACCTGAGCCTCGAGTACCTCGGGATTCCGGGAAGAGATCTCCCGCAGCATTTCATGTGCGGGACTCGCCAATCCATTCTCATCTGTCCGCGAGAGACTTATAATTGCTGGAATGTGGCTCCGGTTGAAAACAAGGGAACTACAGCGGTACAGAAGGGGGGTCAGAGTCTCAAGTAAAGGAGAGTTGTTAGAGCTTTGCAATCGGCGTGCGAGCTCCCTGATGGCCTTGATGACCGTTCGGTAGTCGCTGACCGCGGCCATTGCAAAGCGAATCAACTGGTAGCTGCGCCGGTCATGTACTTTGGCAAACTTCCAAAGATCTGCGGAAGCTCTTGATGCATCAGGAAAGACCTTTGACAATGTATCAATCACTCGATTAATTTGAGCTGTGATCCGTTCGTCGTCTTTTTCCATCACACCGCCCTACGTTCACTTGATATCAATATCCGATCATCTATACAAATAGCGAGGCACTTACATTATACTCCTCGCAGGCCTGAAGGTAGACTGTAACAGCTGTCCTCATTTGTGGTTGCCTGGCCTGCATTGCAAAGAAAACCTTCTTTGCCTTGTCGTCCAATCCACTAATTAGGGTTAAGATGCGACGCACACGAATTTTGTCAACGTCTGTCTCATTATCGCCCTCTGACGTCTGTGAGTCTTTCAGTTTTTGAGACTGCGTCGAGCTACTCCGCGATAGTTTAGGCTTTATCGGTGGGTAGCTCAGCGGAAGAAGGATCTCAAACAAAACGCGATCGATCAACACATGGATATCGAGGTCATTTGTGTAATAAGCATCGAAGATCTTTGACGGCCCATCTTTGAGCAAGGATACTACTTGCTCGTTATCTTGTTCAATCTCACCTGCCGCAACTGCCCACATCCGGCCCAGGGTTTTCATGGCATGTTCCCGAACCTGTGGCTTTCGGTCTTTGACACGCTCCGCCAAGATAAAAAGTATAGAATCCTGGGATGAAAAGCCACCACTGGCGCCTAACTTGTGAACGATGTGAGACAGGCCAAACGTACCGACCGCGTCGACTGCCGCTACTCGAACCTTCTCATCTGCATCTCGAAGCATAGACGCTAGGTTTTTGATGAGCATCTGCTCCTCACTTTCGGCCAGGCCAGAGCCACCGGCCGACGTTAACAATATCCGACCAACGACGGTGGCCCATGCAGCCCTTACTGAGGCAGACTTGTCCAATCGTCGGCTCAAAAAGCCCTCGTAGGTGGAGCTATGCGCCTGCGAGAATGGCTTGGGGGAGAATGGCTGTAAAAGAACGTTTGGCTGGGGGATCGTTTGCGAATAGTCTGACAAGGTTACCGGCGGATAGGCTGCAGGATCCATTGGCGGAGGCGGGGGTGGCCCGGCAACTCCAATTCCAGCCGTAAGGTCACCAATTGTCTGCGTAGCTAGCAGGCGCAAAGATACAGATTCCGCGGAGAGTTCTGCCTCCAGCTGGGGGGCCACATTCTGCAACACCTCGGGACAGGCCCTCCAAAGTTCCCTGATCAAACGATGTGCCTTGCTCAGCTCTTTAATATCCTCCCCTTCTTCGTCTGAATCATCAAGATTGGGCCGGCGATGAGAGTTCTTAGACGGACCATTCGCTCCGGTCGCAGAGGCGTCGATGATGACATTATTGAAATACTGGCTTATATGACTAGTCATCCTCTCCGGGCAGGCTTGGCAAATTGCCTTCGCCATGTTATAGGCCGGGGGGTAGTCCTTCAAAAGCAATGTTCCCTGTTTGGCATCGACCGGAGTATCGGCCTTCTTTCCTCTCCTGCTAGGGTTCTCCAGAGCACGTGGATCGATGCGCAGGAATTGGGCGACGATGATATCCACGACATCCGGAGCAAGTACTGGCGTCTCATCGATCACCGTTACAAGCAGGCGGGTCATGTCGAATTCAACATTCTTCGCGATGTCCTCGCCTGTGGAACCTTTGGAAGAACCAGAGACAATGTCAAAGCAAGTAGTAAATAATGGAATAATTAAAGCGTCCGGGTGATCGAGGTCTGTCATTAAAACTATACTCTTCACTTCCGCTAGTGAGTTTAGCACATAGATATGCTGAGCATTGTACGTGTTAGATGGATCCCCCAATGCGGGGATAATGGAGGTCACGATGCAGGTAAAAATATCCTTCATAATTCAGAGCATAGTTAGCATTCAGCATAGCTCAATTGAGTAGACCGTCTTTCACAAGAACAATTAACACCGCGGCAGCATACCTTAAGTTGATTGCCGGTGAAGGGCGCGTCGGGGGCGCAGAGGCGCAAAACGTCGACAATGCAACAGGCCGTCCAGGCTCTTACACCCTTGTCCTTATGTGCGAGAAGCTGAGCTGTTGCTAGCTCCTGAGAGACTTTCTGGAGAGAATCCTTTTCCACCTCCTCCTGTTCCAGTTTGCGGAGCTCTTGCGCGAGCGTCTGCAAGCGCTGCAGCAGATCCGCAATGGGAATAGCCGATCGCCCAACGCGCCATGAAAGTGGCTCATTGAATCTGAGACGGCGAAGGCTGCCGGGTGTCTCTTCTGTTTCCACGACCTCCGCCGCAGCGGAGGGGCCTTGACGAGTGCGCGCAGGCATCGTGGAAGCAGCGCGGGGAAGCCGGTGAAGGTGTCAGCTTCAGCGCACCATGCGCTAGGTCGGGAAGGGAGGAGAGGGGGGGGGAGGCACAGGAAATAAGATAAGGGGAGGAGATTCGGAGGAAGAGGCGGGAAGAAAGCACACTGTCAAATGAGGAATTCGCAAGCTAGAACGGAAAAGGACGTTATGATAGGCGGAAGAGGAGGTGGTTGGACAAGCAGCAAGCAAGTCAAGTCAAACCCCCGAGGACGATGGATTGATTGTCGGGCGGCTTTTTTTGACCGCCTTCACCAAAGACGCGTCGCGTCGGTCTTCTTTTTTTGCCCTATTTTTTCTTTCTCTTCTAGGTTACAACTCCGCCGACTCGTATGATCTCATGGATTTGACTAGTTTTTGAGTCTTTGCCTAATCCTCAGACGTTCGTTAGTGTACGGACTCCGGAGTCCCTCGTCTTATCTGAGACAGAAGCTAAACCACCTCGGCCTTTTCTTGTCCGACGTCATGGAGTAAATTACTCGACCATTTACACTACCAGATGGTGCCATGATGAGGGCTGATATTGAGACTCTAAATCACCTTTTTTCTAGGTACACGGTATATCGCGATGAAAAGTGAAAGGTAAACATTAACAATATTCGTGGGGAGTACACTCGCTATGCATGCACACAACCAACACTTCGAAAAAGTAAAATAAACATTATCGTTTATATGCCACCTTATAACGCCGAGTTGATGATCAAAATTAACCATATGCACATCAAACCTGAGATATGCAATTGTTTTTTCTCTATTTTGCTCCCGCAAGAAAGGGGAAGAAGATTTTGTGCAAGTCTGGCAACGGCCGATTTAGAACTTTGGCGAAAACTTGCTCATGGCACGAATCTTCGCGCCGTAAAAGAAAAAGACAACCGGAATGGGTATCATAGCAACCGTGATGAATCCAAGTAGACTGGACGCCCAGGCCACACCCAATCTATGGTACATCTGCACGGCAAAGAGCGGGAAAGCACCACCCAAACCACTCCGAACCAGGGTGTTGGCAGCGATAGCTGAGTTGGCAAACATCATGTACACATCGATGATATAGTTAAGGCCCTGCATGAAGATAACGAGGATACCCATCCCGATAGGGACACCTGCAATTACCTGGGGCACCCATGAGATGTTGGGATTCGAGGTCCATCCGAACCAGAAGAGACCAGCTGGCAACAGAACAGAAGCAATCATCATGGGAACCAGGCGCTCTTCGGGTACAACCCTGCCATGTTTCTCCAGCTTCCGCGCAAAGCGCGTCTTCGTCTGCCAAATGATCAATGCGACGCCGCAGAGAACTCCAATCATAATACCAAGGAACGGTAGCCCTGCCACACCCCCATTCGTCCAACCTCGAACCTCCGCGAAGGAGACCGGGTAGGCCTCGAAGAACAGATACAGGATACCGTAGATAAAAGCCAGGTAGATCGTCATAGCTAACAGGATCGGTTCGAGGAAAAGCATTTGGAGGGGGCGCAGAAGATATTTCGTAACGATTTCTGATGCCGTTGGGCGATGCTCGTCCAGGAATGAATGCAATGCCCAGTTACCAGTCTCCCGCCGCAGGCGAGCAGCACGTTTCTGAAGAATTACGGGGCCATAGGTTTCGGGGACGGTTAACAGTGCAAGGGTACCGAACGATGCAGAGGCTATCAAGGTGATCCAAGCTGTCCACCGCCAGCCAAGATGCGATTCTGTAATGAAACCACCCACAATGGGGCCTAATGAGACCTGTCAGCCTTGCTACCACGTCGGAAAGCAAACACTAACGGGAGATGGAAGGAAGACTTACCGATAACGGGTCCAACAAAAGTCGCAGCTGAGAAACAAGCAATAGCCACGGCGCGATCCACGGGGTCCCAGAAATCGGCCATTGCGCCACCCACCACAGCCAGGGGCGAGCAACCAAACACACCCATGAGAAAACGGCACAACATGATTGTCTGAACATTTTGGGCCACTGCGACCGGGATTTGGAAAATTGCGAAGATAGCATAGCCAGAAAACAATGGTATTCTGCGTCCGTATAATTCTGAGAGAGGCGACCACATCAATGGCCCAACTGCGAATCCAAACACCACCAAACTAGTCGCTAGAGTCATAACTTCAGTTGAAACGTTATACTCCTTAGCTGTCACCATGGTTGCCGTCGAGAACACACTACTAGCGAAAGTGATCCACATTGTCAAGGAGGACAGAGTCATGGTCAAAACCCATTTTCTCCATTTTGGCATGTTCTGGGGGTTCTCTGGATCATCTGGGCCGTCCCATTCTACCAGGTTCGGGTCCTTCTCCGGCGCCTTCTCTTCGTGTCCCTTCCTTGAATGTGGTGTTGACATCGATCTCTCCAACCTCTCCAGATCTGCGTTCTGAGTACCCCCAGCGTTCTTCTCGGGGTCTTCCCCGATCGACGAGGAGGACTCTGACCGCAAGGTGATGTCTGAAGACTGCATCGGTCCCTCATTTTCTCTATCTAGACGAGCTGAGCTATGTGGATCATGTTGCGTTGCACCATCTCGATTAGTAGTGCTCATTTTGATGGAAAGCGCGGAATATCGTTAAGGTGCAGACTCCAATATCACTCGATATAGGTATAGCAAACAATAGGCTCTGAACAACAGCGATTAAGTCCTTGCAAAGGGGCAGAAAAGTAAAGTGAATAAGGTCTATAGCCTACTACCTAGCTAATCCAGGCGCATGGGAGGGGGTCTCCTATTATAATAAAGCATTTTCTGCTACACGGAGGTGGGCCTATAGAATAAGAAATTTGCACCCTAGTGACAATACATCAGTTAAACGGGGCACTATGAGAGGAGGAGCCATGGCTGCTAAGCTGCCCAGCGCACGTACGTGCTCCACCAAGGTAGATGTCTTCTTGTTGCTAAATCCGAGTCCGATAGCCGATCCCGACACCTATCTACATACACCAGATATGTACACGTTATGTACATATGAACTAAAATCTGATTAATAGGAGAGAGTATATGCGTGATGTCAGCGGATTTGTCATAATGAACACATGAGGAGGATACCATGGTCGGTGGAAAAAGCTCTCGGACTTTGACGAATGGAGAAAGGCATGAGCTGATAGCCATGAACAATGACACAAGAACCACGAGGTCTGGCGGGTAGAAACTGGAAAATGCTTAGCGCTCTCGCCCCTCGCCCTTTCGGCCCTTCACTGTGGCCGACTTCCATGGCGCTTCTACGGCCACCATTGGGTCCCCGTCTCCACCCTTCCCGATGGCTTAACTTCGTTTATATCCACTTTCGGCAGATGCTCTGCTTTCACTTCCGATTATCCGAATCCATATCAGGTACAAGTTAAAAGGCCGTGTTACAGTTGCATACCTTTTTTCCCTCAATTGGTCAACGCCCTGCATGAGGACCCGACCCCAGTCACTCTGGGGCTCTTTTCATTTGTTTCCTGGAGTCAAACAACCCACTTATCCCCGTTCGGATTTAACGTGGACTAAGGGTATGTCTCAGCTTCATCTCGCGTTATTCATTGTTCATTGTCCGATGTCCGACACGTGCTCACCCACAGGATGCATCCATACCTCAAAACCAGCGAACGATAAACGGTGTAACTAGCAGAATTCTCATTTTCTTTTAGTCATCTGTGTTGGGTTTATCGGCCTATTGGAGTTCTAGATCGAGTCATGTTGGCGCCCGCGCTGCCGATCTGCTTAACTCGGGAAATTATATATGACATGTTCCGATGGCGTGCTTCATCACCGTTGTGCGTGGTGTTGATCCGGTTTGCATATCAATCAATCTGGTAGATGTAGGTGCTATAACTGCTGTCTGACATTTGAACGTGACAGCCCCGAGTTTGGCGTTGTATACTCCGTAAGTATGTAGAATATTCTTTCTCTTTCGTATTAAGTCTTGAACACATCTGTAGTAAGGTGGCCCCTCCTGCTTATCACATGATCCTCTGGCATGCAGATAATAGATAGCATGTCGTCGTAAGTTCTCCAATTCCTTCATAGCACGTATCAGCTGGTAGTGTATGAATGTGCTGAGAGTCAAAGTGAGCGTTGACTATCGGGATTTGACCTAGTCGCGGTGTGAGGATCTACGCCCGCTTCACAATATCTCTATATCTGTGCCACAGTTACAGCTCTCGAAGCCACTTTCGTACAAAACCCTATGCATGACCTTCGAGAGAGGATAGAACAGAACCTTCATTTATTACTTGAAATTAAAATTCGAATTTTCCATCTACTTGATCTGCGATAATAATATTTCCATACAGAACTCAATATCAAAATGAATATGAGTTTCACTATGGTTGCGGGGTATTTCCGATTTAACGGTTAACTTTCTAGCCCGCAAACTATATATGCTTGTTTATATATCTATCTACGTTATACTCCCGTTTGTACTTATCTCCGAAAATACACAGATGATATTTGCAGTATAGTCATTAAACTATCTAGGAAATGATAGCCTATTTCGGCTCCTGACTATTGAGTGACAGTAATATGCATGAAAAAAAATATTCAAAAATATTACACGGTATATAGGTATATGCCCGAAATTCAAACAAGAGCAAGACACTTCCAGGTGATGAATCCAGGATTTGTCACCAGAATAATTGCTATCATAGTTCAGGACACGAGCGATAAACAGATTTACAACAATGTTTTTGATGTTAGATGACCTTTTGTCTGAAGGCGGCATGGGTCCCTATATATAGTACATAGCACGACACTACTTAACATCATCATAAGAAAAGAGAACCTAAGTTGTGAATGTCGATTAGCATAGTTTCATCCCATCTTGGAGACCAGCATATTACAGATATACTACAACCTAGCGCCCAATAGCCATGTGTGATAGCTATGGGAGCTTGAACCGATCAGCTGCCTACGGTACTTATATATCTTCCGCGAACATAGAGAAAGCACACACGACGGGTAAAAAGGGGCTTCTTTCTACTTGAATGATCGACTGAAACATGCAGACAACTAATAGTAAAACTAGGGTTAACTAACTATTGGCATTGTTATTCTTAGTAAGTGTTGTAACTATTGTTGCGGGCAGAAGATCGTGACGCGTCATACAAGAGGCGATATGAGGTTCTAGGTGTGGCATAGGCCCTATTAAGCTGCGTATGTCCCATCCTTGTCCATATTACTTGGATTTATTGATAGAAGTAGCCAGTGAGACTCTGATTGACTACTTGGCCTGCGAAGATTGCTCGGCGATAATGGCGGTGTGATGAGAACTAAAAATTACCCGAGGTCGGTGCCAGATGTAGTGAGTGGTACCAGTACATCGAAACTTACGGAGCTCTACTTATGTGTGACCCTTTAATTTCTGAAAACAGCGTTCACTAGGAAACCAGCTCCGGCTCTTTATTCATGTATAGGTGCTAGGAGTTGCTAGCAGTGATAATGTTGTCGCCTATTATAAGACATAGAAGAATAGAAGATATTGCTATAAATGTTTATACCCGCCACGTTGAAGTCCAAAACCAGTAACTCCCATATTCCTGGGTATCCTAACGCATCTTACATGCGTAAGCTCGCTAAAGATCATGCTCGAACGCCAAACGGATGCTCTCATCCAGTAGAGCCAAGATATCGCTGTGAACGCCGGGAAATGCTATACTCTGTCCAGAATTAGGGATCAAGAACTGTCATCAACAGGGTCGTGGCTCTCCATCTTATGTTTCTGTGCCAAGGCGTCGATAGCCTTGGTAACCTGCTCCTTCGCAGTAGTCTCCAAGTCGGTCCTCGCATCAGCTCCAATGGTTTCAACGTCGCCCACTCGTTCATATAGCATTCGGGATATGTTCCGATTGATATCGGTGTACTCGTCCTTCGACACAGTCTTTGAACGATAGTATGGCTTCAAGGCCGCACCGACCAGCTTCTGTATGTCAGTCTTGACCGCCAAGGATAGGCTGGGCCGGCTCGGAGACTTGTCGTTCGCTCTCAATAAACTCGAGCGATATGCTGCCCTTGGAATCCGGCGTCGGGTGCTGTCTGAGAACCCCTGTGACGGCGTATCTTCCGTAGAAATGGTTGGAGAAACATCGGGCGAAAAGGGTGGCGATGAGGGATGAGTGGGTGTCGCGAGCTGTAAAGGGGATATCGGTCTACTCCTTGGGTGAGGTGGGGGTGTTGTGGAGGAAAGGCGGGGTGAGGAGTGGTTAGATGGCACGGGCGAGATTGATGGGGAAGAAGGCCCAGGAGTAGCATGGTCAGTTGCTGCAACCGAAACCTGGGCAGAATTCCCATGAGAATTAGTGTCGTTCGAAGCGTCCTCGACTTCTTTCAGTAGGGATTGAAGAAAGCTTGGTTCGCTTGAAGTTTCCGCGTTGATTCGAGCGGAAGCCTGGGCACCAGCAGCCCTGGAAGACTCGCCATTCTGAGTAGCCAATGCTGCTAAGTCTTCAGCTCTGCGGGTTCGTGGACGCTTTAGCTTCCGTTCAGGCTCGGTGGGTTCAGGCGAGGGTGACATTGTCGGTTCCTTTCTTTTCCGGGCCGCACTAGGATCATTCTCGATCTCACGAGCCCTTTCAAAAGCATTCCACGCCCTCATCTCTTCCAGAGATTCAGGCTCAGGTGTTGGTTCCCTCGGCACACGTGGCCGTGATGGTCGCGGAGCCTCAATATCAAGTAAGGCAGCCGTATCCCTGAAGCGGTTACTACCTCCTTGTCGTTCTGCAACTTCAAAACGACGCTGCCAAGCTCGAAACTCTCGCTGATTGGCTTCTTCCCGTCGTTGTTGCTGCCTGGCACGCTCGGCAGCCCTATCATCATCAAACGGAAAATCCAAGTCGAGGTTAAGGTGATCCCAAACGGACTGCCATACCCGAGCCCAGTGAAGGGAGTTCATCTGATTACGGCTCTGTAGCTGCCGCTGCTGTGCCCTCGTACGGCGACCGTGCCGGTCCCGAGCCCGCGATGGCCTATCAGCACTGTCGGGGGACAGCGCTCGAGCGCGTTGGGTCTCGCATCGTGAACAATACCAAGGCCCAGACGGGACAGTATCAAGCCCGAGGCAGTACGTATGCGAGGGGGCATCGCACCCATCACATAGAAGGAGAAATTCTTCGTTGTCAGAATCTCCGCAAATAAGACAAGGTGAAAACCCGGCAAGGTCGTCTTCCTCGATGTACTCTATCACCATCGAAGGATCGACATCCGCAACTTGAACGCGGTCCTGCACAGCATAAGAGGAGAGTACGGGGCCTGTTATAGATAAGTCATTCAGTTAGTATATATATATATATATATATTTATCCGACTGTACAATAAAATCCTTAAGACAGAGAAAGGATGGGTAGGTAGTGACTGTGAAACATACCTCCGATGCAGTCACTGAGCTCCACAACGTTGAAGCTGCGGCGGCATATTGGACAGCTGTTCGCTCGTTCAACCCAGGGCTTCAGACAATTGTTATGTAAGATATGACCACAGGGGAGCAACTGGGCGATCTGACCAGAATCCTCACTGCCATCCACGCCATCTGCCTTGACGGAGGTGTCGGTCGACCTGCCATTTACTTGAGCATCAAGTCTTGGCGCGGCCTCGGCGGAGACGGCAAGAGGATCGCTGGCGCTTTCGCCAAGGTCTCCTAAACACACAATGCAAGTGTCGGACATTAACAGAGGGTTCTGTGCCAGGACTATCTGCAGAGAAGCTAAGAGAAGGCATGAAGAGCAGCTGGCAGAAAGGGATAAAAGGCAGAGGAGTGGAAGGAGAAGGGAGAAGAGCAGGTCGAGTGATGTGGGGAGAAAGCAACCGGCCTTTTGAAGGTGGACCTAAAGTCCGGTCTAACGCAAAACAGTCTGGCCGTCAACGTGACCTACCAAGTCTCAGGCGAATCATTGTTCAGGAAAATCGGACGAGGCACTTTGGGCGCAACCCTCAAGGTTGCGAGTAGTTGTAGCTGAGGAAGTGTGCCCTTGCATCCTTACTATGAGACACGCCCCTCTTTTTTCTTTCTTTTCTTTTTTTTTTCTTCTCTATCTCTGCCTCTCTTGTTCTTCTTCTTTCCCCTCTTACTATCAGACCGCCTGTGTAACGTAAACTTGCCCCGATAGAATTTGAAAGGAGACTAAACAATAATGCGACGAAAACTTGATATTACCAGAGCTTGTTCAAAGCATTTCGTGGTGCTGAAGATAAGTAGATCGTAGATCGAAACGGAAGGTTAATTGACCCGAAGGTACTCCGGTCTCGGTGCTTGAACAGGGAGGCAATGCTATTCTCGAAACCTTATTTAACAGGGGCAAAACGAGATGCTACATTTAGACGCAGAATCGAGGAGGAAAAGGCGCATAGGCAGGAACACAAACCAACGAAAGTTAGATGGCCTACTCCGTAGGCCTATCTCGTTGGGTGCACGAGCTTACTCCACTCGTATTTCAGTAGTCCTGTCCCGTCAGAAGACATGGTCACACGTATTAAAAACTTGAGTGATCGTGAACGAAATAAAGATCCAGCGTGATACGAATGAAAGAGCGGTAGAGCAGACATGGCAGATGTGGAATAGCTGATACGCAGTCCTATTTGCAGAAGACCTGAAATCACGGGTTATATTTGTGTCTATTGGTTAAGCACCATTCCGTCCAGATGATGGCTGGGTATTCGTAACGAGGAGCCCTTGGGAGCTTTCCAGATCTTGAATTTCGCTATTTTTTATTTCAAACGTAAGATAAAGAAAATCCCATCGTGACACTTAAACCTCCGCGATTTCCCTGAGACGACGGATGGTGGAGCGGGTGGCAGCGGCGGCGGGGGTGCTGTAGCACAAGGATCGATCAGTATTCGTCCCACATACTTCACCACACAGTACACAGTCCAATACGAACTGCCCCCGTGGTCATCGAAAGAAAAAGAATGGGCTCGACTTACGAGACGGTGTAGGCACCACCGGCGACGGTCTTCTTGCAACCCTTGCACTCCCAGATACCAACAGCCTGGCGCTTGACGGTGTTCTTACCGCAGAAGGTGCAGACGTAGCGGGCGTGCTGGGACACTTCCATCTTCTTCACCTGCTTACGCAGGGAGGCACCGTATCTGTTAAATCACGTCGTCAATACATTGTTCAACTTGTCGAAAGCTCGATTTCGAATCCTTCATTTAATCGTGCGGAATAGGAACGCGATCGATTTCTAGGCGAAAGGGCGCAAGAGCATACCTGGTACCATATTTACCCGTGATACCGACCTCTGAAGTATTATGTTAGTCTCAAATTATTTTTCCAGTTATTTATTAGGCATATTTCTCTATGATAGAGCACTTACTCTTAGTGCGCTTGGTCATCTTGTCTCCGTGCAGCTGTTGAGGTCGAAGATGGATACAGTGCGGTAAGTCGAAATCGAGACTGAGGCTTTCAAGTGGAAGCGGTTGTGGGTGTCCAGGCTCGCTTAGGGTTCAAGTCTTGGCTTATCACGTGATGGGTATCTTTGCGAACTATGAACGATTCAATAGGTAAAACCTCCCACCAGCAGCTACCAGGGAAGAGGAATAGATATTCTAAATACTATCCTTTAATGAGACAAAGGATGCAAACGAAAAGTATGTCTTTACGAAAAGTCGTTCTGACCTCAAGATATTCATCGAATCCTCTTACTTTCAAATTTTCGTGCCAATTTTCTATATTTTCTAACTTATCTAAAATTTGCACCAAAATCCGCTAGTCTGGCCCGCATGACATAAGAGACGGTAAAATGCAACCAAATGCCCTTGCACAGTAGTAGTAGTTACTTGTTCCTTGCCACATTATGTTATCAAGGCAATACTATTACTTGTGTAATGCTCTGCATGTATGCCTTGCTAATTGAATGCCTGGACATACCCTATACATTATTCTTCCATCATAGGACTACCCCGTACTTACTATTGCCGAACAATTCTTTCGCCGCTCTAGTCACATGAACGTGGGATGGGCCCTTCCTCTTTCTGGTTAGTCTAGCGGCCGAGGCGATCATCTCACGTCACCGAGCAACCATGCTTAAGCTATGTGTATCTACGCAACTCTGCTACCTACATAAGTAGATCTTGTGTCTTTATATATTTTGTTTTTTTTAAGAATATATACTTTATCTAATTGTTTGTGTAATTCATCCATCTTTAGTCACCGGTACATTCTCCCCAGCTTTTGGCAATGGAGTCTAAGAGGGAGTTCGACCTGATCCTTCTAGGCCCGACTGGCTACACGGGTAGACTCTGTGCAGAGCACATTGTTAAGAACTTTCCTACGGGCTTAAAATGGGCTCTAGCAGGGCGTTCGCTCCAGAAGGTTGAGAATGTTGCCAAAGATCTGAAGAATCTGAACCCCGATCGCGCCGAACCAGGTACTATATGAATCTGTACTACCGTTGAAAACAACGAACATTGTTAACCTACCAATTAGAGGTTCTGGCTGTCCAGCTCAATCGGGAGGAATTGAACTCATTGGCTCAGAAATGCCGTGTACTTCTCAACTGCGTTGGGCCATATCACCTGTATTCTACTCCTGTAGTCGAAGCTTGCGCTAGCAACGGAACACATTATCTTGATGTGTAAGTAAATCATTACAATCAGGCGGTGGACGCTATGGCTAATCTGTGCAGCACTGGAGAAACGCCCTGGATCAAGAGTATCATCGAAAAATATCATGAAACTGCCAAGTCAAATGGTGCTATAGTGCGTGTCATGTCTTTGTTCCCTGGCCTCATGTGGTGATCCCCCTGACTGATTTAGATAATCCCCTCTGTTGGTGTCGAGAGTGCTCCTGCAGATATGTTGACTTGGGCCCTTGTTAAGCGTATACGTGAGGAACTTTCCTGCGATACCAAGGAAGTTACATGCGCAATTGATGAACTGAAGTATGCTAGCCGCTCTTTGACCACCCGACCGGATGCATAGTACTAATAACGTTCCAGGTCCTCCGGGGCAAGTGGTGGTACTCTCGCCACAGTCATGACTATGTTTGATACCCTCTCATTGCTCGATATACTCAAAGCAGCAGACCCGTTTGCGCTGGCCGCATCTTCACCACCCAAGTCTATCCCCAGCGAACCACTCGCGGCAAAGGTGTTCGGCGTCCGCTCAGTCCGTGATATGGGCACTCTCACCACCGCTCCAACAGCGATCGCCGACATCACTATCGTGCATCGGAGTAGTACGCTGATGCCAGAGTTCTACGGGCGTCGGTTCCATTTCAGACAGTTCCTTAGGGTGAGGAACGCGCTCATTGGTGTTGCACTTCATTTTGCTTTCGTCACCGGCTTGTTACTTTTGCTCCTGCCGCCAGTTCGGTGGCTCTTGCAGAAATATATATACGCGCCTGGTAGTGGTCCCCGCATGGAGGACTCAGTCAATGATCGGCTGGTATACCGTGCCGTGGCGACAGCTGATCAAAACACGCCGGATCCTAAGCGTGCACTTGGCAAGCTGAAATACGATGGAACGATGTATGTTTTCACAGGACTCTTGCTGGCAGAGGCAGCCATGACTATTCTGGAGAATGAAGAAAAAGTGAAGAAAGTCTCTCGTTGTGGCCTTGTAACTCCAGCTACCTTGGGCCAGGAATTCATTGACCGTTTGGAGAAGGTTGGATGTCAAATTGAGACCGAAGTGTTCAAATACTGATGACTATCTGCAACTATGCGATGTTGAACTTACGTTTTAATGCCTTGGAGGATTAGGCTTTTTTGTCTAACGTGCTTCCATGCATTATCGTGCTGTACCAGTCGAATTAATGTAGTCCATACACATAATGAAACATCGAAAATCCATACAATTTTGAAGAGCCCACAAATAAAATGGTAATTAATGCACATAGTCAGGACACCGTTCCCCGTGATAGAAACAAACAAAGGATAGTAAAACAAGTCACACGAATAACACTACAGATATATACAGCGCACCAGAATCTGCATATCAACATCGAAACCCATCACAATTTGAACATCCTCGGGTCTCGGAACACAACTTCATCCAACCACCACGCAATTATCTCATTGACTTCTTCTGGTTTCTCCCATAGCGCCCAGTGAGAGGTATTGATCTGCTTGAAAGTCATATGGGGTATAGTCCTGGTCATTCCCCTGCCGAGATGTACCGGAAGAGCTGTATCGCGGAGGGCCTGAATGAAGAGCACTGGGGCAGTGATGCGTTGGTCCAGGATGGCGATTTCCTCTCTGTAATTGATTTCCCGGGTTCGATACCAGTTAACTAGGTGCTGCTTGTTAGCTTCGTTTTAACTTTTTTTTAACTCAATTGACGATTACAAGGGTAGCGTACATGGACCATGGAAACCGTTCCTCGAGAACTCCTCCGCATAGTATTCAAGTTCCTGGAAACTTTATTAGCATAACCGACCCTGAGTTTATTGGTGGAGGGATAGAATGGGAATAAACTTACTTCCTCACTCAACAACTCTGAGGGAAGTACACGAGCCAACTTATCGGGCAGAATACCCAGTTCTGCATCAAACGCCAGTTCATTTTCAGGGGTCCGCCCGCCGTACATGGCGGAGAGGAGTTTCTTGATATCTTCTTTGGTCTGCGCATACTTATTCAGTTCTCCACTGATGAACTGTAGCTGGTAATAGAAATGAGGCGCTATCCTTTCTACCATGTCTCGAAGGGGAAAGTATCGCCTCGTTGGCGCGGCGTATGGCACACAGACGGTGATGATGTGTGTTACTAGATCTGGGTGCCAGAGGGCTACACGGTATGCGAGAGCGGCGCCCCTATGTACATCAAGATTTAGCAACTTTGACTTCAATGTCTAGACCGACAATTGAGGCCCAAGGAGAAAACATACCAATCATGTCCGGCAACGATAATCTTAGATATTCCAAGCTGGGACGCGAGTTCTTTGATGTCATTGGCGCAACTCTTGTGTGAATAATGATGTGGATCTTTTGGAGCATCCTGTTTATCCGCATTGTTAGCATTGTTGTATTGGTGATATACCGGGTATGACCCCGGCAATTGGCGCTCTGGTACGTACCGTCCTCCCGTATCCTAAGCAGTCTGGCGCAATGACCCTCAAACCCACATCCGTCAGCATGGGAATCTGATACCGCCATCCCATTGACAGGTCCGGGAAGCCATGAAGCTAAAAACCATGAATTAACCTTTGATTGGTTTCCTTTTGTCTTCGGCGTTATTTGCAAAGACAGTTTGTGATCCCAGAGTGTCACGTACAAGAAAGATAGTCGCTCTATATACGCCCGTATCGGGCTCACTGTAAAGATAACCTGCGGGAACATATATCATCAGCTCATATATCCCCCATCAAGTTTCAAAGTTTTGGAGAATCGTATATCCTGGGAAACAAGAACCTTAGACTCTCATATCTGGTCCAGATTCAAGACTCCGGAAAAAGGACATCCGCATACCATATCTCTTGCCGTTAATATCAGCGAAACGGCGCTCGACTCGGGGATCGCCGGTTACATGGATCTTATCAACGATCATGATTGCAACGCAAGGGCTGGAGATTGTACAGCTTCACGGGTTAATGCAAGGTAAGGAAACAACGAAACCTGTGAAAAGCAGAGGAAAAATTTCTTGGTCAGGTCATCCTGTGCATACCGACTTTTTCTTTTATTTATAGAGCTGTATGGAGACCCCCGCCAGCTGTCTGTCACGTGAACCAAATACTGATGTATGAAAAGATGAGGCTACAGGCTAAGGATTGGGCACTAGTTTTATAAAATGTTGAGGAAATCTTGGAAGACTAGTCTCATGAGAGGTGTTTCAACCGTTATATGAGAATATGATTTGTAGTGATCTTCAGAGCCAATGCCGCTAAGTTGTTGACTCCGCCGGATAATCGATAGCCTCGGTTGTGCCCGTTCATGTCCTGTACGATTCCTTAGATGCAGGAGACGCCTCCCAATGATAGCTCACATACATACATAAAAGTCGGTGTTAGAAAAAATAAATAAATAAAAAATATTGAGAGCCAACGAAAAAAAAAAATGGTATCGCCTAGCATTCAGTAAATCACTGTATCCTCCTTATCCTCGACAACCTCGCCACCGTCATCTTCAGCACCTCGATGGACGTCTGCATGGTCATTATCGATGGGTATATTGTTATTATTAGTAGCCGTAACATCAGGTGGAGCTGCTTCAGAGTCTCTGTTATGGTTAGTCTCAGCAACCACCGTGTCAGTCTCATGGGTTGTATCCTTGTCTTCTTTGAGTTCGGCTTCGGGTTCAGGGGCCTGGTCACGGTCTTCTTGAGTAACCTCATCTTGTTTCTTCGAAGACTCGTCCTCATGAGCTGGATAGCGCGCCTCGAATTCTGCGACCTCCCGAGCAACTGTGGCTTCCGCTTCCTCAACCTGTTCACGTATGATCGTTTCATCTCCGGGCCGAAGTTGCCATGGCTTATAGTACTGTAGAAGGCTCTGTTAGCCAAGTCCAGGGTCGTAGACAAGACAGGTAGGCGTACTAATACAGGCTCAGTTTTTGTTTTGAGAAAATGGGACATTGCCAGTAGGTTCGAGTGTCGCGTGCACATCTGTAAATGATCATCCGCATGTCAGCCCTAGACCCAAGAGCAGATGAATATCCCAACCCCAGAAAACCCACCGATTCCTCCTCATAGAGTCTCTGCTCCTTCTTTCGGATAGCAACCCGTTCCTCCCGTCTCTTCTTCTTCAACTCGCCGTACTCTTCATCCTGCAGCTTAAGCTTATCCTGTTGTCTCCGTTCAATATCCGCACGGCGTTTCTGAGCCGCTGAAGTCGAGCTCTGTGAAAGCGTCCCCAGTAAAGCACCGAATAGACGTTGTCCACGCTTGCGTTCCTCCTCACGTCCACCTCGGCCGGGCCTCCGTTCCGGCTTGCGTTCCGCTCCATCTGGAGAAGATTGTTTGTGCTCCGTAGGTGACCGATCGCCCGTGTGATCTTGTTGTGAGCTAAGGCGACGGCGTTTGCTCTCCGAGTCGGCTTCTGCAACGGAATTTCTTCGTTTCAAACCAGCATCTGGGGATGGGGGGAGGTTGTCCTGTTCGGGCAGTACAACTGCCGATGCCAGTGTCCTACTCATGTGTACACTGTTAGCAGCTGTCCCGGAACTGTATAGAGTTGACCGCTTACCCTTCAGCCATATCTGTCTGTTTCAAAAGGAGTGAAACGCGCCCCAACACAAACACGCTAAAATAGGTGGGGAATAACAAGTGGATGGCACCAGCTATCGATTATACGGTAAGTATGAAATAGACGGTGTAGACAACCTGCGGTAAAGCCGACTCCTCTGATCTGCAGAATCAATCCGATGAAAACTACTCGGTATCGCGATATGAACGGCGGGCCTCCCGTGTCCTGTCTACGCACGGACCATGTTCCTGATATGGAGCGTAAGTTCCGCATGGAAACTTCTTCCCTTTCCTTCGTCTTCTCCAACGCCCTCGGTCAGGTTCATAACTCCCTCTGTCCTACAACACTTGTTAGGGCATTTGCCAATCGTTATAATTGAAACTTCCTTTCTGAGGAATATTCTCTCACTCAGAGTTTTCTTCATTCCCTGTTGTTAGCTACTTCCACTTGAGCTTCTTTTGCATTTGTCACGCCCTCTTAAGTCGCCATGTCTCGCCATCACCCCGATCTCGTTATGTGCCGCAAGCAGCCGGGCATCTCTATCGGTCGACTGTGCGACAAGTGCGACGGTAAATGCCCCGTGTGTGATTCCTATGTGCGCCCCACGACTCTCGTTCGGATCTGCGACGAGTGCTCGTTTGGTAACTACCAGAACAAGTGTATCGTCTGCGGTGGCGAGGGAATCAGTGATGCTTTCTACTGCTTTGAATGTACGCGACTAGAAAAGGACCGAGACGGGTGTCCGAAGATTATAAACCTGGGAAGTTCGAGGACGGACTTATTCTACCAAAAGAAAAGTTTTCGAAATCATTGACCCCGCGCGATGGCCATTTCACCGCTTGTCGGTCCGGTTCGAGTCTATGGCGGAAACGACTGCTCCACGTTCTACGTTTCTGCTCCTTGCTAGAGCGATACGCCAAGGATTCCACTGTGTCGGGCAACTCCAAAAGATAACTTAATTACAGAAGGAGAGAGATGATGGAGAAATAGCAATCTAAGGGGGCTGGAAGATAGCACCGCTCTACCTGCCGGGTCTTCTCGGTCTTGCGAATCCACGGTTCAGTCCGTCGTGCTGTGGCGGGCTCACTTCCTCCTGCAGCCTGTCGCCTGTGATCTCGTCTGGCGAAGAAGCTTCGATCTGCACACTCATCGTTAACTTGTCTCAATCAAACATCTGCTCACGACATCAACTCGTACCTTCTTAGAAATCTTCAGACCTTGGTCTTCGGCCAGTTGGAGGGCGTACATCCGGGAACTAGCATATAACATACGCTCCTTGATCGACGAACCCGATGGGCAAGTATAGACGAAGATCACCACGTCAGAATCGGGATAATGATAAAATGTATAACGTGGTGAAGATGGAGAGATGTGAGATTCGACGGAGCCAGGAACAGTCCCGTTCTCTATCCCAGCAAGGACGAATGTCTCCCTTGGAATATCAATGGCCTGTATTTAGGGGAAAGTAGAGTTAGCACTCAATCAAAACCTTCAACAAGTCGGAAATTCTTCGCTCTTCACATGTACTTACCAGCTGCACTAAGTCACCCGGCTGCAGACTTCCCAGAGCATTCTTCGCCTCGTCATCTACAGGCATCTTGTACTGCATGCTAGATGGTGCTCCGATGCCACCATTCTTTCTAGCAAAGGAACCCCCGATTCCGATGTCCCTACCGGGGGTGCCACTTCTCGCCTCATCCTCGGCTCTCCGGACGGCTTCCAGCTCTCGCTCTTTCTCGCCCATCAGCTCCTCGCGTTGAGAACGGCTCTTGCTAGAGCCGTTCTTCTCGGCGTCTCTCTCCTTCCACGCCTCCTGACCCACAACCTCATCCTCTTCCGTCGCGAAGATAGTCGAGGCAAACTTCTCGCTGCCTAGTTCCCTAACCAGCGTTGCACGGGTAGAAGCGAAAAGGGTCTTGGCGCGCACTGGAGCATTGGAGGGGATGTAGGTCAATGCAACGAGAGACGAAGACCCAGACTCCGGACGGCGAAGAAGAAGGTAGATAGGGGTTTTCGGCTGGAGGACGGAGGAGAGCTGGGAGAGAGAGGGGTAGAAGGCACCCGGAGAGGAGAAGGGGATCGGCGAAAGGGGAGTCAGACTCTCAGCGGTGATATTCACCGGGAGGCAAAAGATTGATGAGTCCGAGGCGAAGTTATTGAAGGCATCATGTAGCTCCGAGGAGACTAATCAACATAATGATTGTTAGTGTGTCCTGTGCATACTTCGGTCCAGTAGAGAGCCGCGGGGCATGCTTTAGAATGACCGTAGCATGCAGACCCTGCAGTATGGCTACTTACCCGAGATTCCTGACTGCATTTTCAACGAACACCAGCCGTAGCCTGGTCTCTTGTGTAGATGTGACTTGTCAACCGGGCTGCGGCGTTGTTTGTTGTCTCTGGAGTCTGCTGAGGGGAAGTCAGAAGCGGTGTGCTTGGACAAGTGGGGTCTTAGCGTTGGCCTTAGTTTCAAGGTCCTCCGGGGAGTCTACGCCGACATTTGCCTATCCTATTCTACAAACAATTGGTCTTAGTTCATCCGATTCGAGACAACTTGGTCCTGAATTTGTCTAATATTTTTACTTGTTGAACATAGGAAAAGGTATAACAGCGAAACTAACAGAAGAAGAAAAAGAGCTATGTACAGTCCACGCTATAGGATCAGATCTGAACGGCCGTCAAAAAGCCCAAAAGATAACGACAATCATATGTACTGATGATGCAGAGATCGCATTGCAATCGAAAACGCCACCATGCTCATGGTATCAAATGCTTTCGAGAACACGCAGCGGCCACTCCCTCCAGGGGTGCCTAATTTACTCCTCGAAATTGCCTCCCACGAAGGCCCAGTTGGACTTCTCAAGCTTGCCCTTGAGGAATTCGTACACGGTGAAGGTGACGGCCTGACCAGGAGCCACTCTCATCACACGAGGTGTGATACCCTTGTAGAAAGCACGTGCACCTTCTTGCTTGAACATATCATTGGCGATAGCCATGATACGTGATACAGCTGATTGGCCGGGCTCAGCGCGGGTCTTCTGCAGTCTCGTCTTGATTGTGTCGATGGGGGCGTTGGAGAAGGGACCAACGGCACCAGAGATCAATCCGATCACGGTCGTCTGGTAAGAGGGGAGCTGGGTATCGGCGTACTCGGGCTGCCATCTTTGGAGCGCAGCCTTGAGCTCGCTGTATGCAGTGAAGTTGGCGGCCTGGTTTGTACCCTGTCGAAGGGCTGTCAGGGAGACACCACGGTAAAGAGCGCTGAACCCTTCTTCTTTGATCACGGTGAAAAGTGCATGCGGGGCACTGCGGTACTTGGGGGCATCGAGAGGGTCGGCCAAACTGTGATACTGTGCTTGCAAACGAATCTTGACGACTTCCATAGGGTTGACAACCGCCACAGCTTCGGTAACACCGGCAGATAGACCGGCTGTTTTAATGAAACTTGTCAGTTTTCCGGGGAATAGTACACGAGATGACGGGCGAGAACTCACCAAGGAAAGTTGCTTTGCTTGTGACATGTCCCGTCTCCTTGTCCGCAAGCATTTGCTTATACCACTCATAGGAGGTGAAACGGATAGCCATCTTCGGAATGATACCTCCGAGGACAGCTCCTAGACCCTTGTAGAGACCCAGAGCGGTCTCCTTCTTCACAATCTCAACACCAGTGGCAACAAACCCACGGGGTTTTACCTACATGGTGGGAAAGCTATTAGCTGGGGTAGATGGTGCATAGTGGAAGTCAAACTTACACCCGGTGCTCTGGCGCGCCGCGAAAGCTGCATCCGGACCTTAACGGTATCTAACCATGACAGTGAGCCATTGCCTCTCAAGAAATCTTGAATTGGGTGTTCCCGTACCTAGAGGATGACATACGAGCGCCTCCATCATTCCGGCGCCACCACCAGCTGTTTCACAAGTTAGCACGTGCCGCCTTTTGGGTTGAACAAAATGAGCCCTACCGATCAAGTTCACAGCCGGAGAAGCTGGCTTCTTGCTATTGCCATTGCCATTGCCTTTGCCTTGCGCACTCTTCGTCGACATGTTGGGCAATTGTGTATGTGCGATTAATGAATTGTTATCGAGTCAATTGAGTTGCGACACCCTTCCAATGGGGGAATATAGTTGTCTAGGTCAATGCGACGGTATGGGAGAACAACAGCACGCGGGAGGAAGAAGAACTAAAGATAAAGGAGGCCGAGAGGAAGATGACTCAATTGTCGTTCGAGCGCCAGGGACGACCTTATTTTTTTTAATTAAAGAAAAGAATATCGACGATATCGGACCTTCACAGGTTGACCTTAAAATACGGCGAGATACGGAAGTATAGCTACTACGTCCCTCGGCACAACTGACCATAGGGGTATTTAAATCGGTGGATAGGGAAAGGGGGCCACACTCTGGGGTTAAAGGATTTAGAAATAATAATAGATAATTTTCGGGAATGGGGATCATTAAACGGGCTCGGTTCAAAGTGGCGGCTTTCTTTTTTAGACTTCTTGTTACAGCGAACCGGCCGTGGAGGAGCTCTGACGGGGAAGCGGAGGTAAGCTCGCTGGACGAGCGGAAGATGCCCGCGATTCAACCGAATCACCACTAAAAGGATTCGCGGACAGAAGAGAGTCCATGCGACAAGGTTATTTGAGTAGAAGCGGAATTAAGTACAATCTACAAGACTTCTTCGTGGGCTATTTTATAGATATGCTTTCTTTTCCACGTCCCCCGTCGGTCGTGCCCTCTACAAAGCATACCTACATAGTATAATACGTAAGTATGTCATCCCGAGGCATCGGATAATAACTAGAAACAACTTCTTCCGCAGTTCGCTGTCAAGCCCCAAGTGCGGTTCCCCCAGAGTGTGACCTCATCACCCTACACCAATGACATGGCGGAGCCAACCCTAAAGTCTTCAGCCAGTCAATTCTTCACATGCTGAATGAGATATTCTGGCCACTGATGGTCAAGCTGCCGTCGTCACCTGGCAGGATCAGTGACTTAAGTGTGCCCTTTGGCTCCAGAAATGCTTGTGATTGATACCCTACCTGTACTACGTACTACTAGTACCAAGCACTAGTAATACAACCTGGGGTTGGAGTCCCCTCACTCTGACTAACCCCATTGTCACGGAAGATGTCGGGCCAAGACGAGAGCTTCGTTCAGCCGAGGCTTTTACCCTTCTTAGTTCTTATCCGACGGTGCCCTACTACTGTGACTCCCTGCACGGAAGGCCAGACCACCAGATACCAAGAAAGTAAAGTCTGACTGCATTAGTAAACTGGTAGATCAGGAGGGGTAGGTATTTTTCAGCTTCAGATGGCTTCAAAGATAAGATTTCCTTGCTTCTTCTTGATCTCTTCTTTTTCGAGGTTAAAATTGAAGCGGCTGTAGATTTATTTCGGCAGCCTTGTCGCGGTACATGATTTATCCACGCCTCCTGACTATTTATCCCCTGCGATCTATACGAATTGGATTAATCTACGGGTCCAAGACTTTCACGTTTCAGGGCCAATACAACAAATGTTTATACAACTTTCACATGAAAGCTGAATGCAGAGTAGCACATGACTACTCTGCATTATTCGTGTTCTCATACCACCCTTCATCATGTATCGTGGGGAATGAATATGCACTGATGGTATGCTGGAACGGAGCACTGTACCAACTCCGTGTATACCTTTGTCAATCCCTGCGATATCCAATTCGTACTAGCTGTAAGGCCAAGATCATTCAGTGGCCGAAATAGGTAGTTGAAGATGATCCCATCCCGGCTCAGGATAACATGTATTTGGAAATATCAGGTACATTGATTGGAGCCTGCAAGCGGCGAAGCTCAGGCACCGCATTAAATCAGACAGCTAGTGCTTCCACCATGGCAAAATAGCCATATTGAACTATCAGACATGAAAATAGGAAATCCTGATTCAAAGTTATCAGTGCTTAGCGCCGTTCGTATAGTCAAGATTCGCAATCGAGACTCTTTATCATGATATCGGATTCTCTACGACATTCAATTATCCCCACACTAAACAACATGCAAGCATGAGCCAAATGCCACGATAAGGGGCTGGCACCTCTCAATGAATCCAATATAAACCCGGACAGGCAATATGAATCCCTGTCTCTGTATACCTTATCTTCATAACGAGCCAATGCGCAACGGGTAATGACTGGACAGCCAGCACACACGGCCCGCATCCAGCAGATCCTAAGTACAACCCTCCTCCTCATCGGGATCGGCATCGTCTGCATGCTGGCTTACTAGGTACTTCCCGAGTGTCGCCAAAAATGGCGGCGTAATCCGACCCGAATATAGCATTCTCTAGGGCCCATTGGCGTTCATCTTCATCTCCGGACTGAGCCTCCCGCCCCAGAAACTCACTCACTCACTGAACTGGTGTCCAGGCTATCTAGTTTGCTAAACCATTACTCTATTGCCGGATACCGCCGAACCCAAGCCCTGGAGGTCTGACGGGGATAGCCTATCGGATATGTACAAGGATGTGTTGAACCAATTTGGGTCTCAGCGTGCTCGCACACTTAGTATTGAGACTTCTGT